TTGAGATGCACAGGCCAGGTTTCCTGGACTAATGGTCTCTTCGCGATCTTCATGAGGACCGACGCCTTGGGTTGTTCTTTGAGGAACAGCAAGAGTATTTTGTGGCAGCAAACTGAGTATGTCTAATGAAAAGAAGGAGCAGGGAGGACACGATAGCAGTCTTCCAATATTTGAGGGGTTGTCACAAAGAAGAGGGAGTCAAAATATTATCCAAAGCACCTGAGGGCAGAACAAGAAGCAATGGGTGGAAACTAATCAAGGAGAGAAGCAACTTAGAACTGAGGAGAAATTTCCTGACAGCTAGAACAATTCATCAGTAGAACAGAAGTTGCCTCCAGAAGTTGTGAATGCCCCAACACTGGAAGTCTAAGAAGATGATGGTTAGCCATTTGTCTAGAACGGTATAGGGTTTCCTGCCTAGGCAGGGGGTTGGACTAGAAGACCTCCAAGGTCCCTTCCAACTCTGCTGTTGTATTGTATTGAATGTCCATGTAAAGCTTACACCAGCTCAATGTCTGATTTTTTCCAACATAGACCACCCTGTCCTTGAATGGCTGGGTGGACTGGACATTAACGTTTGAACCACTATAAGTCCATGTATTTGCTATACATTAAATAAATAAATAAGCACAATGATCATGCTAAAAAAAGAACTTGATAGCAGCAGTATAGATTGCTCATATATTAAAGTTATTAAATATTAACAGCCAGTAAAAATAACAGAACATGTCAGAGTAGTCAATGCTCTAATAGAAACAGATGTCATTCAAAAAACCATGGACCTGAATACAAATCTTAAATGCAGCAAAAGTTTGGCACTAGCCTGTGTGGCCAGACCATTTCAGGCAAACTGGAAACTCTCCCAAACAATAAATATTAATGTCCACTTCCTGTTTCTGTACTTTTCCCTTTATGGTTTCCGTTGAAGCTCATGAGTCCTTCTTGAATAAATTAAAGGCAAAAAAGCATTAGAATCTCATTAGCAGTAATAAATCAAATTGTACAAACCATTACAGAAACTGGAAACTAAAACAGAAAGATTAAACAAATGTGCAGTATGGATACAAAATTAAGGTGGCAGGGTTGCATGGAATTAACTACCATGGATCGTATTAAAAAAAATATTAAATACAACCTTTGCACTAAAACAAGGCAGAAGTAGTAAAGAAATAGATGGTCGCACATTAATAGCTAGCGACCAATTTCTGGAAAACAACATCAGGAAACAGTTCATACTCTTTAGCTCCAGAGTTTATAAATGTATTTATTCATCTGTTAGCCCTTTATCTAGATTGTTGATTGAGTGCCCAGAGGTGCTCACAATATTGATTAAACAGAATTGTTGATAAACCTGAAACTTCAAATTTAATTTTTGATAAACCTGAAACTTCAAATTTAATTGAAACCATAAATGAAATGAAGAGAAGAGGGGGACAACTTGAAAGAAAGGACCAGATGCCCCAAAACACACCCAAACCTCCTGCCATTGTTCCTCAGGGCTTAAAGGAAAGTAGACCAAAAGAAATAGCCATAAAGTAAAGATAACTCCATACTATCCAGCTGTGAGGAACTATGGCTTCTTCATGATCTGTGGACTTCAACACCCAGAATTCCTGAGGGTGGCTGGCTCAAGAATTCTGGGAGTTGAAGTCCACAGGTCATGAAGGGGGCATAGTTCTTCATCCCTGCTCTAGGCAGTCTTAATTAATGTAGGTACAGGTAGTCCCTAAGTTATGATGGTAATGTAGCTGGCCAATAATGGTCATAAGTTGTGATCATAAAGAAGGTCTATATGTGACTGGACCTTGTTTTTCAACCCTTTTTTGCAGCAAACAGATGCAATGTTAAGCAAACATTTCATTTTTGCTGAAAACTGGACGTAAATGGATGGCACTGCCAACAGGGCTGACTCTATAAGGAATAATTTTATGAGCTATACTTAATTAATTTAATCTCAATTTAATTTAAATTCTATGGACATCAAATAGATATTTGGTCCTGGCTCCATTTAGAGGCTTAGATGATATCTCTAGTCTGGAAAAAAAAGGAACACCGTCCTGATTTAGAGGCCCCTGCTTTTAATAAATTTCAGCTATGACGCAGGTTTGTTTTTCTCCATACAATAATTGAAAAATAAAATGAGCCACACATCATCCTCTTATTTGGGGATTTATGATGCACTATATTAAAGGAAGTGGTGGCTAAGTGGGTAAGACACTGACCTTGTCTATCAGAAAGTTCAGAGGTTCGAATCCCTAGCACTGTGTAATACCGTGAGCTCCCGTTACTTGTTCCAGCTTCTGCCAACCTAGCAGTTTGAAAGCGCTTAAAAATGCAAGTAGAAAAATAGGATCCACCTTTGGTGGGAAGGTAACAGCGTTCCATGCGTTTTCGGTATTTAGTCATGCCGGCCACATGACCACGGAGACGTCTTCGGACAGCGCTGGCTCTTTGGCTTTAAAACAGAGATGAGCACTGCCCCCTGGAGTTGGGAACAACTAGCACATATGTGCAAGGGGAACCTTCACCTTACCTTATTTTAAGATATGTTTTATCCTGTTTTTTAAAATTGATTTTATTTGTGTTTTTTTTTAATAGGGGACCATTCTGATCTCTTATATAAGTTGTCTAAAGATGCAGTTAAGCAAGGAAAAACAAACATCCAGAACAGCATTGACCAAAGATATGAGAAAAAAGAGAGCGACTCAAGTTCCTGTATGTACCAAATGCAATACAATTGAATTTGATTTATTTTTTTAAAAAAATACTCAGGCTTGATTTGTTTTAATTCCAACCACGCTTGACTTTGCCATCTTGTGTGAAGGTTATTTTACTGTGAAACTTTAAAAATATTTTTTCCTCCTTGCTGTCAGAGATCACTTAGTTTCCAGGTACCCAAGCAGAAATTTACAGAAAAACCTGCCTAGATTTCATGTTATCCTTGACTTAGGATCACAATTGAGCTCAACATTTCTGTTGTTAAATTAGATAGTTCTTAAGTGAATTTTGCCCCAATGTACCAACTTCTTTGCCACTATTGTTAAGCGAATCACTGCAGTTGCTAAGTTAGTAACACGGTTGTTAAGTGAATCTGGCTTCTATTCAAACATATTTGCTGACATTCCAGGCTCCATATAAATCAATCGTTGCTAATAACCCAGTTTAAAGAATAATAAGTTGACTATCTTCAGCCTTTGATTAAGAGTAAGTTTAACTTTTGATCAATTCTCGTGCCTTTTTGTGTGCATATAGTGTCTGAAATTGAGAGTGGAAAGGAAAGTGGTGATTGCCTCCCCGCGTTAAATTATCAAAATTCCACCTGTGTCAAGCTCGGTTCAAGGATTGTTCGTGTTAATGATACAACTGGCAAAATATCAGATGCAGCCGGAGACAGGGCTATAGGTAAGCTGATGCGGCTGAGAGTTCTTTCTAAGCACGGGTGAACTTTATTGATATTGACTTACTTTACATTCCCCTTGCACAAGGCTATTCATGAATGGCTAGATTTTCCTGAAAACTGTTGTGGCCTGTCGGCAGAATCAAAGGAGGAAGAGGAGGCGTGGGAGTCAGAGTCAGCATGCAGGCAACCTGAGAGTTCTGAGGGGGAAGAGGGAATGGAGCTGTCAGAGAGAGAGAGAGAGAGAGAGGCAGAGCCTGGGCCATCCATCAGCCCTCAGATGGAGAGTCAAGAGCCCCCAGGTCGAGAGGTGGCTAATGAGGAAGAGGAGGAACAGCTGGGTTCAATGCCTGACGTGTGGATGTGTAGAAGGCAGAAGAGAGGAGAGTAGTGGAAATCTATGGGCCGGTCCAGGACCCAGATTGTTGGGGGCAATATGCTGACTCTCTGTAAACCGCTTAGAGAGGCCTGAAAGGCCTTTGAAGCGGTATATAAGTCTACTGCTATTGCTATTGCGGTCCTTGGGATGGAAGAGCCACCGCTGCTAGCGGAGCCCCACCCTAGCTCTGGGGATAAAAGACAGGGGGGCAGAGATGAATAGGTGTGGCAGACAACTGTTCATCTCCCTGCTGGACAGACTTGTTAGCCTGTAGGGAGAGAGGGGGAGGGGGGAGAAAGGGAGAGATAGGGAGGGAGAGAGAGACAGAGAGAGAGAGAGACTTTTTGCCAGGGTTGCTGGCACTCCTAATAAAGGAATCATTGATTTAACTCCAGAGGGTTTGTCATGTTTGGGAGCCGGGTCAGAACAAAAACTCATCGTGAATTGAATAGAAAAAGAAGACTTGCACCCTTTCCATGTTAAAAAAAGCAACTACAGCAAAAACCCTGTGAACATATTAAGGGGGATCCTGTGAGTCTGCTGGTGTTTTAGCAACTTAATGTAATATCCTTGGATTGTGTCCATGCTTTTTTTTTCTCTCTTTCCAGAAACCTCTGCAGGATTGCTCTTCTCTTGTTTTGACAATATCAATAAAACGGGAGTCGCTAAGGCTGAAAAGCTGAGAAACAGGCATTTAAGTGCAGCTGAAACGGAACACAAATGGAATGTTTGGCGCAACAGAAAGCTGAGCGGAGATGCTCTAATGGAGCTCATGAAGAATCAGATCAATCAGGAAGCCAGGCCTGAAGAAATTGTGGAGAAACTGGGCGTGGATGCTGAAATTCTCACTAAAATGTTTGAGAAAAGAATGAGGCCGAAGACCCTCGACCTCCGGCCGGCTGCTTTGGGACCTGCTCGGAAGAGCCATCGGGAGAAAGAGTCTAGCGATGAAGACGTAGCCTACGAGAACGGCCTAGTGGATAAGACCGAGTCGCCGGTTATATTCGATTTGGAAGACCTGGATAACGAACCCATCCCGCAAGTGAAACCCCTGAAGCCGATGCATAAAAAGGCCAAGAAGATTCAGCGGGCTGTCAGCGTTCCCGTGAAGCCCGTCGAGAAAGTTAATGTTGAAACTGGCTTTGATCCACTCTCCTTGCTGGCAGCTGAGACGGGACAAGGGAAGGAAGAGGAGGAGGAAGAGGAGGAGGAGAAAAGGGTCTCCACCCCGTCAGCAAGGCGCGATTTAGCTGAAGAGATCGAGATGTACATGAATAATATGAGCAGCCCTTTAACAAGCCGGACGCCCAGCATCGATCTGCAAAAGGCCTGCGGCGACAAGAACCCCAACAAAAGAAGTCCGACCTTAGGCCAGCCGTGCCGAAGATCAAGCCTCCCGCCAAACTCACCCAGGTCGATAGTGCTCCCCAAATCCAAGAGCTACCAGGTCAAAAACGAAAGAGGAAGGGACCGGCTTTGGTCCTCTCCTGTGTTCTCTCCCAACAACTTGTCAAGGGGGCAACCTGAAGACATATCCGGGACAGTAACGCTCGCCTCTCCAACCTCCTTCAACCTGGACACGCTCCTGACGCCGACGTTCGATGTTCTGAAGAGCAGCATGTTTTCTGCAGGAAAAGGGGTGGCAGAGAAGGCCAGCAGGTGGTATTCGAAGTTCGCCACCTACGCAGCAGCGTCGAAGGTAAGGCTGTCGAATAATTGCCGTGAAAATAACACAGTTCAGCAGGGATTCCAGTGTGGCTGCTTGTTCTTCCTCACCCCTTGATGGCTCAGGGTAGAACACTTCTTCAGCTCCATAGGAGTTGCCTTGAAAGTCTTATGTCCCTGATGGCAAACCTATGGCACATGGAGCCATATTTGGTGGAACACCAGTCATCAGCTGATTTTTCGCCCTTCCGAAGGGCCAGGGGAGGCTGTTTTTGACCTCCCCGGGCTTCAGGAAAGCCTCCGGAGGCTGGGGAGGGCAAAAAAGGCCCCCAACGGCCCAACCGGAAATTTGGGGATGAACTTCCGGTTGGGCCATTGGGGCCATTTCCCCCCCTCCCCAGGCTTCAGGAAAGCCTCCGGAGGCTGGGGAGGGTGAAAAACAGCCCCAACAGGCCAACCGCAAATTCGGAAACGATCTTTTTCCGGCTTTTGGAGGGACTCCAGGAGGCTGGGGGAGGCCATTTTCACCCTCCGGAGGCTTCAGAAAAGCCTCTGGAGCTTGGGGTTGCGCGTGCATGCTCAGGTGGGCAGGGAGATTGAGTGGGCATGCTCAATTTTGGCACGCCGTAAGAAAAAGGTCTGCCATCACTGTCCTAGGTGATGTTTATACTCCTTGGCGTTGGCTAGGATCACGAGGCCTACAAGACAAGTATTGGTAGAAGAGAATGTCTGTAGCTGAGGGCTGAACACAGGGCCCTTTGGCGCTCTCTGAGCTTGGTTGTTTTCTTGCAAATGTTTCATTACCCAACTAGGCAACATCATCAGTGCTAGAAGAGAGTGGGGTGTCCAGAGAGGAGGCAGAGGAGGACCGTGGTGCTCTCTGAGCTTGGTTGTTTTCTTGCAAACAGCAAACAGAACTCTGAGGCAAGCAGGTTCCTCAAAAGAAAAGGTTTATTGGATATATCATATATTGGCACAGGCTGGTGAAAACTGACTCTAAAGGTTTCTGTGATTTTCACTTAAGCAAAAGTTTTTCCCTCTTTCCCAAACAGTCACGTGGTCCAATCAAGGTGCTGTCCGGTTGCTTGGAAACTTTACTCCTCTTTTGAGCCATCTGTGGGAATGTCCTTGGTTCTCAGGGGAAACTATTTTGTTTTGGCTACAAAACCCCAGCTATCTCTCTTCCCCCCTCCCTATCCCTCAGCTCCAGTGTGGCAACACTGAAGCCTCCAAGATGGCCTCAGTCAGGCCAGCTTCAGAGTTGACAGTGGGTCCTTTGTAAATTAGGATGGTCGTAGGCAGGGGTTGGTTCCAGCAGTCACTACTGCCGGTTTGTGCGTGCTTTGCGTGTGCATGCGCAGTGCAATAAAAATGGCTCTGCGTAGAAGCAAAAAACAAGACGGCAGCGCCTACAGCGGCGCCTGGAGAACCAGTTCAGGGGCATGGCAGGCCTGGGTCGCTGCTGGCTCCAGCACCCCAGGCTGCCAATACCGGTTCAGCTGAACCGGTCCAAATTGGTAGGAACCCACCACTTGTCGTAGGCCAAGGACTACCTGCAGTGCTGTGCTGCTGGATCAGGGGTGTCAAACTCGTTTTCATTGAGGGCTGCATCATGGTTTTGTTTGACCTTGGTGGGCCAGGGTGGCTGTGGCCAGTTTGACATCACTTGTGTCGGGGACGCCTGTGGCGGCCCAAGCACTCTGCCATGGAAACGGGCTCCCAAGCTCCGTTTTCAGCTGCAATGGCTTCCTGCAACCCTCTGCCAGCGAAAACGGAACTTGGGAGGGCCGCGTGTGGCCTTCACAACCTCCATTTTCAGCGGCAACAGCCTCTGGGTGCAGACTTCCCAACCTCCATTTTCACTGGCAGAGGCACCGTGGGCCTGTCCTTCACTGTTTCCAGGGCCTCCCCACAGGCCAGATTTAAGCACCCCATGGGCCGGATCTAGCCCCCAGGCCTTGAGTTTGACGCCCCTACACTAGTTGTTTGCTCCCAGATGAGAATCTGTAGCAACTCCCAACACCTCCTCCAATGCCTGTTCTTGTTTCAGGATCAAAACTCGGACCGAGCGAGCTTGTCTTCGCTTGGGGCCCTGGATTCGGAATCCGCCTCGTTAACCGATGAAGACATGTGCAACGACCTGGAAAGCAGCTCCTCTCCTCGAGATGAC